CGAAACTCGCCTCACACTACACGGTCAAAAACCTCGGGCCGGCCAGGCATCTCCTCGGCTGGAAAGTGGACCGCACACCCACCTCCATCTCGATCAGCCAACCTGCCTTCATTATGGACACACTCAAGAGGAATATGGAGACCTGCAACCCCAGCCCCACTCCCTACAACACTACTGTCATCTCTGCCCGCAAACCCGACGAGGCCAAACTTCCCTCCACCACCCCCTACTCGGCCGCTGTCGGCTGCCTCCGCTACCTTGCCGACAGCACCTACACCGACCTGGCCTTCGTCACGGGCCTCCTCGACCGGTACTCACACAACCCCTGCCAAAGACACTGGCAAGCAGTACAGCGAGTCCTGCGCTACCTTCGGCACACCCCGACACACGGCATCACATACACGAATGCCACGTCCCCCCGACCCCTCGATGCGTACTCGGACTCCGACTTTGCGTCCGGCCTCGACACACGTCGCTCCATATCAGGCTTCGTCGCGCTCTGGCGACAAGGACCCATTGCCTGGCAATCTAAACGCCAGAAATTCGTTGCATCCCCAACATGGGAGGCAGAATACATCTCCGCCTTTCATGTCTCTCACACACGAGATGCCTGCGCAACCTCTTACGTGACTTCCGCGCCCTCGATGTCTCTATACCAACTCCCCTCCACATAGACAACGCCGGTACCATCACCACGGCAAAATCTCCACACCCAACGCCCAAATCGAAGCACATCGACGTAAAACACCACTGCGTCAATAAACAAGTGCTCCGACGCCGCATTATCCCTGTGAAGATACCATCGCGAGACAATCCCGCAGACTGCCTCACGAAACGCCTCCAACCTACGATCTTTGAGCACCAACTCTCCACGCTCCGCCTCACCGCAACACCATCATCAAGCGCGGCGACTGTCGTATCTTAATTTTTCCCGCTTGATGCCGCCACCGATCACCCTCCACTCCTTGTCGTATCTTACACGTGTACATAGCTCCACCGGTACTTAACACCGCCGTCGCTCCTCCCACAGTAAACACGACCAAGGTCTTGAGTCTCTCCTACAGGAATAAAAAATCTTCTTTCCACACATAGCTAAAAACGACCAGGATGAACATGCAGTTCTCACAAAATTCGCTCTGTTCCTAAGTCAGAAGTCAAGTACGGTGGCGGGGGTATCTTTTTCTTTCGTGTCGCGGAAGCGCAAGTCAAGAATAAAATAGGTCGAATGATGTCCCCATATGAGAACAAAAGTAATTTTATTTTTTCTAGACAGGCTAACTCGCGATTTCACTTCTGGTTTTTGAAACCAGAAGGTCATCACCACCGATGCAGCATTTGCTTGTCAATTTAGCGGAAACCAACTCAGTGATGCATATAAAGGTGTCCAAAGAAAAAGTTGGCCGACCGTAAGCTAGTTTTTTTTATACTAAATTTATACCATTAGCATAGAAACATTGCGCTGCGAGCTTTCTATTCGGTTCTAACTTCAGACACATTTTGAAACAAGTCAACATACCAAGAATAAGAAATAACATTCGCGGATTTTTATGTTACGAAAACGCCTGATCGGATAGGCACCAGTACAGTACTGGTTCGACCTGCGAGCGGGCACGCGTTCCTGTACAGCTGTCCACCGCTCCCGACGTGTGCCGCTCCGGCGAAAGCGCATTGCTGCGCGCGCGAGCCGCGGCGGCCGCGTTGCCTGGCGCGGCGCGCTTATGTACGCCCGCTGTAAACAGCGTTACCAG